CAAAGAACCTTTTGTTCTTTTGTTATCTTTGGTTTTCATTTTAACTTTCTTTGACTTTATTTTTTTAATTTTCTTGAAAAAAGTTAGGTATAACTTGTGCCATAAGATTTTTTTAATAAAATCCAAGGACAAAGGTAGCCCTCTATACACTTCATTTTGTTTTATTAGCAATCAAACAGAGCCTACATGTTTGAAGTCTGGTTTTCATTCTAGTGGATAATCTAGGAGCCTACTGGGGTTTGATATTAAACTGAAATGTTTGATGGTATGTTTTATTTGTTTATTTATTTTATTTTAACTTGTTTCACTGTTTATGGCTGTGAAATTTGTACATTTTTATCTGACAAGTCATTTGTTTACGTTCCATAATATTTTATTGTCTTTCCAATTTTCATCCATCAGACGGTAACTTGTACAGGAAATTAGGTTGGGAGCCTAGGAAAGGTGAGAGTCACTTGGATGCCATGTTGAGAGGGGAGCTTTTAACTGCACTTGCTCTATTTGGACATGCTGCTACACAAAAGGAAGCAATTAGACGTTTTGAAGCATTCTTAGAAGATAGAAATACACATCTTCTCCCTCCTGACTTAAGAAAGGTTGATAAATTCAAAGTGCTTTGGTTTTCTGTTTTATGCTGGTTTAATAATTGATTAAAAACCCAATGTTGTGTTGATGTACCTTTACTGGATGATTTTGTAGACAGCATATGTTGCTGTGATGCAGAATGTCAGCACATCAAACAGGGGCGGTTATGAATCTCTTCTTAGAGTTTATAGAGAGACTGATCTAAGCCAGGAGAAAGGGCGCATTTTAAGTAACGTATCAGTGCATATTGAGTTGTAACACAAATAACTTATGCCTATTGATTTTGTGATGAAATTTCTTTTTCATGTATTGTAGGTTCTCTTGCTTCTTGTCGAGATCCTGGTGTCATTCTTGAAGTTCTCAATTTTTTGTTGTCTTCTGAGGTACTGTGGCTTTGTTTTCTTATTATATTTCCTTGTATGTAGTTTAAGTTTTCTCATATACCCGTGCTATGGTTTTCCTTCTTGACAGTACTGAATTTATTTCTAAATCTTTTATCTAGGTAAGAAGCCAAGATGCTATTTTTGGACTTGCAGTAAGCAGGGAGGGACGTGAAACTGCCTGGGGATGGCTTAAGGTATTCCTTTATCTAGTTACCCCCCCGACGCCCAACCTTTCTTCAGCTAGAACATACACTACGATATTCAACTCAGACCAAGCCAATAATTAAACACCATCATCTGAAAAAGAAACAAGGACATCTAAACCACCTACCCCTCCAAATAAATAAAATAGTACATGCATGGTAATCTTCAGCTGACAATTTGCAACAACTGGAATGCAGGATAACTGGGAGTTCATCTCAAAGACATGGGGTTCTGGGTTTCTTATTACCCGCTTCATCAGTGCCATTGTGTCACCGGTCTGTCTCAGATTCCATATTTACTCTATTTTCTTCATAATCCTTGATTGCTTAAGTTTACATTACATTT